AGCTATCGGGCGACCTCCCAACCTCCTGAATAATGTGGTGCAAAGATAGTGAGGAGAGGATTTTGAATGCCAAGTTGACAAACCCGAAAGTCGGGTGCGAAGCGACTATGAATATGCTGCAACAACCTGGCATTCTCAAAGCCCGCAGCTATCTTGCCTTACCAACTTTCACAAACATTAGTCGAGAAAGGTCTCGGGAGGTCTCATTTCAGAGATTACAATAATCAGCATATATCAGCGATTCTCATCCCAACACATACACAATCAGGAACATTTATTTTGCTCATATATATGCATCTCCATACATATATACATGTATATACTGTATAGACTGTGTATGATTGTAGGCCTATATTCATATATATATGTACACACTTATCTATCTATCTACATCTGTCTACCTACCTATCTATCTGTCTATCTAGTTTGTCACCAACACCCAACAGGAGAGTTGTCATAAGTCTGAAAAACAAGGAATCTACAATCTTGGTTGATTTATTGGTAAGGGAATATTAATTTGCTTATGTTGGTCACCCTGAAGCTTCGCACTGAATGTGAATATGGCCATATATAATACTTTAGAAGTAATACTTACTTGACATTGTATATTCCATCAATAGAAACAAAAAAAACAAAAAAAACTGAAAATAATAAACTTACGAGATGAACAGGCACGTACGTCATTTCAACTTTTTTCTTTGGGGAGAAGCAAGCAAAGCGAACAAAAATTTAGAAAAATGTTTAAACTATAACCGGTCCTATATCAGAGTAATCTAGTAATTTAGAAAAAAAGAAGTTAAAAATTGTAGCCCCTCAGCCTTCTAACTTGTTTACTCTACATGCTGACCTGGCTGCCATTTGGCAGTCTGGAACCATTCCCTATGAACTGTTAAGGGGTGTGATCATCCCTCTTTGGAAAGGGAAAAGAAATCAATGGGACAGCAACAATTACATTGCTCAGTATACCGGGTAAGGTTCTCGTGCACATCCTTCTGGCACGTATCAGAAATCACTTATCAAGGCACCAGCTGCCAGAATAATTTGGGTTGGTAAGTCCACAACAGACCTTATTCTCGTGCTCTGAGTCACTGTAGACCGCCACTGTTATTTTGGTAGTGGGCTGCTGGGAGATCCTGAGACTGAGCGGAATTCCAACAAGGATTATTAGATTAATAGTAAGCCTGTATACTGGTACTGAAAGTACTGTGAAGTGTGGTGGGAGCCTGTCGAGCTTCTTCCCTGTTAGTTCAGGAGTGAGGCAAGGCTGTGTTCTTGCACTAACACTTTGCAACACTTGCATGGACTGGATACTTGGCAGAGCTACTATCCGAAGTCGTTTTGGAGCATCACTGGGCAATGTTAAGGTTACCGACCATGACTTTACTAATGATGGTGCTATTCTATCTGTGTCTCTGGAAACCCTAATGTTGGCTGCAGAGGGCCTTGGGTCTAGAAGTCTCCTGGACCAAGACCATGATCCAGGATTTTGGGGGCCTGCTTGAAGAACCTGTTCAGTTGGCACATGTATGTGGCAAGGATAATGATGCCACAGATAGCTTTGCATATCTTGGTTGTGTAGTTCATGACTCTGGGATGGCAAATCAGGAAGTCTGTAAACGAATTGGCCTAGCAGCAGGGATCATAAACTCACTTGATTTGGAGATCAAATACTGTTGCGCACAAAGACCAAGTTTCGCATCTTCAGGGCACTGATACTGCAAGTTTTACTCTGTGGTAGTGAAACCTAGAAGCTATCTTGTGTTTTGGAGTCTTGTCTTGATGCCTTTTGTAATAGACCCTTGCACTGAATCATGGGGTAGAGTTAGCAGGACCACATGTCCAACCAATGGTTACACCATGAGACTTGGACAGGAAACCCTTACTTGAACAATCTAAGACCGCCAACTCAGGCTTTACAGGCACATTTCCTACTGGGTGATCCTGCCTACCAGGTTGTCTCTGTGCCCAGATGTAAAAGGCCTTTGGGACGACCTAAGAAGTTGTGGCTTGGGCGATCTCTCATTAGGAGTTAGAGATAGGTTGAGGCCCTGCCTAATGGCTTGCCATGAGAGGCCCTCATAGGTTAGCTCCACAGTGATGATGACTCGCATTAAGGGGGACATTTCAGAATTAAAGAAAATGACTAGACAGAGTGGACCCATTTAAGTGACAGGTTGCCTCTATATTGTTGTTGACAAGCAAAGCCTCTCTAGAACTATATTGCTCTTAATTTTTGTTCTTTGCAAGTTGCTTCATTTGACTAAGAGGTGTATGTTATCTACGGATGGAAATTCCGTTAATCGTGAAAAGAGCAAATTGAATAGAAAATAATTCATATGAATCAGACAGGTGGTTCTAGAATCTGACTCTGGCATGTCTTTCTGTTACATAATCCTGCATTCACCAAATGAGTTCGCCTTTGAGCAAGTATCAGTTGAATGGCAACTTCGTTGGCTAGTTGAAAGGCTTTCACGAGATTGAGGAAAATTGTCACATAGTCCCTTCCATTGGATAACGTGAGAAGCGGCAATGTCGCCTGTGCCTGTATCCCCTTAGTAGGCAAAAATATTTGGCTGAAGGGATGGAATGATATGCTGTAGTCTGTGTAAAACAGCTCCCTTTATAGGTTTCCTAATACATGATAAGAGTGAAAGTGGACGAAAGGTGTCACATGAGTCATCTTTATGTATAGTTGAATGATGGGAATATGGAACTTTATCTGTCCGTAGTCTAGTGTCTTGGTGGTGTACACTGCATCGGCAAGCTCTCGATCTATAAAGGGAGGGTCGCTATCTGACTGGACTGCATTAGCTTCTTATGTATTGGGATGGTGATCAGGGTAGATATACCTTGGTCTCAGATGATGCCCACATAGCACCAGTGGATCCCAGTTCTCTTGGCTAGTGGCCACATAATATCATATGATGCCCGTCTTGTAGGTTGACATCTCGGTCTTCATGAGAGACTCAGGTGCTTGTTACACCATTGTTAGCAAGTATGGGGCTTTTTTTTATATCTACATTCATTCATTTTAACCCTATAAATGTTTTTTCTTATTACACTGATGAATTTCACCTCAACGGTCTAGTGTCATGGGAGAAGTTCATTTCCCTGTGACTATGGGCGTGGAACTGCTTCCTGTGTAGCAGCAATTACCTTCAGACAAGGAATTCATTTTACTTTATCTAAGCTTCTACAGAAGTTTGCTGCTAATTTCAGTGTCAGTTTTCATGTGGTACATATGCAAATAGATGGTGGGCGCTCGCTTATTCATGTAACTTTTTCGCCTCGTAAAGATTTATGAAGTGAATCTCCGATGGCAAAATTGTGCACGGCGTGTTGTAGATAGGTGTAAGCATGTCTTAACTGTTTAAATGGTTTCATTAGACATTACTGTACTGAAGGGCGCAGTTGATGTAAAGAAAAAAACAGTACCGAGAAAATGCTATATTTCGAGAAAAGAGATTAATGATTTAAGACAGGAGCCGAGAGGTTGAACGAGCTTCTTTGGTCTTTGAGCAGACCTTACACTAGGACGACCGGGGGCAGTATTCACAAAAGGTCTTTGACAAAAAGTGTCTAGAATCAGGCTTTGACCTAAAATCATCGTAGAATTTGTCTAGGACTCGTTTTAAAGAATGTCCTTAGCGATTTCGTCTTTGACTCGCACTTCTGCCATATTTCTAAGTTAATATTTCCTAAAATATTAAAATACTCACATCGTAAAAGACCCCATGATAATTTAATATAGTAAAATTACTATTGCAGTGAATCTTTCGAATATAATGAGTAAAATTTTACCTTCTTAATATATATGTATTTATCTACGAGAAAACTGCAGCAATCATGGAGGAAACGATTCTGTTAACGTTTGACAATAAGTATAAAAGTGGCACGAAGGATGTCCTTATCATTGCGCGTGTGGGAACCTCTGGACCTTTGGTTCCGAGATTTTGTCAGTGGCTCCTTATGAAAATGCTCTTAACTCCCAATTTTTGCCTATAACTCGGTAGATGTTTAGGACAGGTCCATTTCTAACAAGTGTCCTTCACGCGTAAGGAATGTCTTTAATCTGTCCTTATGAGACGCCTACAACAATACTGACATTTTACAGTTATTGAAGACATATCCGCATCAGTAATGATATCCTGCCACATTATTTACTTATTGTCAAACGATCATTGGGACGTTTCCTCCTAGTTTCCTACAAAGTTTTCTCGTAGATAATGTAGGGGTCGCCATTAAAACATATTACATAGGTACATAGTTTGGTTATTTTATGCTTGAGTTTTACTGCAATCGTAATATCGTTTGATTATGACATTGGGTTATGATTATAGTCTTTTAAGATGTGGATATTAGTACTAGTTAAGTGTTAACTTTGTGACAGAGCGAGTCAAAAAAGAACTAACCAAGGACAATTTTTAAAACGATTCATAAGCAAATTCTACGACGATTTTGGAGTCAGAGACTGTTCTTAGGCCCAAAAGTCGAACCTCTTTGGGGAGTCACTCGGAGAAATAAAGGCCATACTTCCTATACAGAAGTAGTTAGCAAGTCATTACATTGTAAACCAATTTTCCATATATTCTCTTAACAATTGTGGAACGTATATTACATTAGAATAATTAATCGGAAAGTAAGAGGTATATAAATCTACGATGACTCTTTTACGCCAAATTTCTGTCTGTCTGTTTCTGTTTTATGTGTATATATATATATATATATATATATATATATATATATATATGTGTGTGTGTGTGAGATTTGAGCCTCGAGTGTGAGTGAGTGAGGTGAATGAGGTGAGTGAATGAGTGAATGAGTGAATGAGTGAGTGAGTGAGTGAGTGTGTGAGTGAGTGAGTGAGTGTGTGAGTGTGTGAGTGAGTGAGTGAGTGTGTGCGTGCGCGCGCGCGTGCGTATGTGTATGTGTAAGTGTGAATGTGTATGTGTGATGCATAATAACAGATTTGTATAAATGCGGAAATTGAACATAAATAATCTTGTTAAGATTTTTTTATTATTATTATTCTACATATGGCATCCTTTAGCATTAAAATTATTTCAAGTTGACAAATAAACTATACAGCACGATGGTACCATCCATTATGGAGGAACACAAAACAACCAGGTTGTGGAGACCTTGTACCATGTTGTGGCACAGTATAAAATACCTTATATAATAATATAATAACATACATGGAATTGGGCAACAAAAAGTCTTTCCTTTGTACAAGAAAGATGTCTGAGCAACGCCTTACTGACAGACACTCGGAAGGGCAAGGAGTAAAATGTATTAAGTAGAAGATATACTTAGACCATCTTCGGTCCTGATATGAGATGAACCCTAATATGGGCATCTTACTCAAAGCCCTCACTGTCTTTATTGAGAATCAGAATATTCAAAGCACAGAATGAAAACAAAATTGTTTCTGTCACCATGACCCAAATTAACCACTGGGTCAGATTCATAGGAGATTAAAGAAAGTGCAAGAGAAGAGCATCAATTTTTGATTTTAAATGTAGCAACAATAAATGCATATTTCTTGGTAACATGGTTACATGCCCCCTTGTACTCATCTAAAGTGAAAAATTAGTGCTCTAATCCAACAGAAGCATTCATGGCAACACATGTTATTATGACTTAATGGACAAATAAGTTCATACATCACAATATTCACTCGTGTACAAGGAAAATAGAAAAATATTCTAAATTACACTGGGTTCCAAAGGGATCACAGTGAAGTTATAACACTCTTCAGTTGTTGATTTAACATAAAACTCTAACTGAACAGTCTTCATAAATGTCTTGTAAGAGAAACTGAAGCACTGCACTTTCAGCAAAATAAGGAAAATGAAGCCAAATTATGTATTTCCTGAAACGTTAATAAGAAACATTCTAAGCATATGGAGGGAAATACAAAGGAACAGTGATTAAGACTAGTGAAACTAAATACTGATACTAAGCAAGTGATATGACGATAGGGAGTTAATCACATAGAAAGTGCTTAAGCAGCATATAAATACGGACTTATGAATTTCAAGCCCTTGATTGTACTTGGGGGGGAGGTGGGTAAGAAGGGAAAAGATTTGGATCGTCTGCAGATCAGTGCACATCTTGATGACAAAAATCTAAGGAAACAACATATGTTGAAGCAACAGATACACAATTTGCATTAGCATTGTGCGCAAGGAGGTAAGGGTAAAACTTTTATACATTTTGTCATGCCAGACAGACACTTTTAAAACTGTCTGAAAGGCTTTGGGTCCTATCACCTACGTAAGATTAACGCTACACTACTCCCAGCCAAGAGGTTAGGTGAGAGAGTCCCATCCAGAGAGAAATAAAGTCTGTAGGTTCTTTCTACACTGTACAAAACATGGGCTGACTAGGGTCACTGACGCCAAAATAGTACACATACAGAGGCCAACAACCCCTGTTATAGCGTGTCAGTTTCTCCCTAAAGACACCCAAATGTCTAAGCATTAAATCACATCGCCAAGAGATTGCACTTGGTACATTGTTTTGGCAGATATGTGGGTTGTGGATGACCACGAGCGTCGCCCACCCTAACATACTAACGTACAAAGTTTGGCTACGTTCTAGATACAAAACAAAGTATTCTGTAGACAATACTGTTAAATGGTAGATCACAATATAATTTCAATCTCTTCATAAACAGTGGCACATGAAATAGTTGAACACCTTCTCGCTTTGTATCCATATATATTATTTATTAACTAGTACTTCTCTTTATCAAGCCTTAGGTATGAGTAATGGCTTTTCCTGTTCACCTTAAGAAGTCAAAATAAGATATGGCAATATGGCATTTGTACAAACCTTAGCAAACTACACTTAGAATCTTACAATGATCATGAGATTCGGTGAGCCTCTGCAAAGAGGTTAGAATATTTAAATAAATTTCCTAGAAATCACGTCTTTAATCTCAAACAAATAGTTTTTACTTCACAAAGTCGAGTATCATGCACTATCTCTTGTGCGTTATTGCACTTCCGCTGCCTTAAACACACAACTTGCTCCTTGGCAGCCATGTGTCAACCTTAAAACTTATTCATGTAGTACTATATACACAACAATGACCGTCAAACTGAAACCAGAAAGTCAAAAAACTGACCAACGGTTCGAGGATTCGTCGGCAGGAGTCTTTACAGGGGGAGCAAAGAGTCCTTGAAATTATAACAGGGCATATTGAAAACACACTCATGCTGTGGAGATACATAATCTACCACTCCAGCAAGAGTTGTTCCATGCGCTGCAGAACATCTCATGCTGTCCGACTGACGTTGGCGGCCTGGCGGGTTTGGGCTAAATAAGGAATTTACACGATCAGGCCCACGCCGTTATTTCTTATCCATTTCCTTGTTCTTGAGATCTATCGAGGGCGTGACGGTGAGGTGGGAGTTTGAAGAAGGAAAGGACTTCTCCAGGTGCTTCAGGGATTCGGTTAGGAAATTCTGAAATAAATAAATATATTTTAGG